CGTACAGCAGATATATATGAATAAAAATAAATAAATTATATATGTGGGGCTTGGCAACATTCTGGTAAATAAGAGTTATGTCTGAGGATGCCACTCTGCTTGGCAACATACCTATTACTATTATACCATCATCATCATCATCATCATATGGGATTCCAACATCACAAAAAACATTGGGGCAACCCATTCACTAGACCAACAAGACATTTATAATAAATGCCAACTTCTGAGTTCTCCACAACCCTTGATCCGGCAACATATTTAAAATCAAGGAGGAGGAGGAAAATAAATTGTGATGCTCTAGGCATGCTTGGGCCAGGTTTCCATTTTAAGCAGAGCTGTGAAAACACCTAAGAATGCAATGTAAGTCTTGTTGGTCCTGGACAGTATCAGACTGCAGAGCTTGGTGAGAAGACAGAGAAAAGATCTGGAATCATCCATTCCTGGAAGCATCAGTGACAGTCATTTGAAGTCTCCAGTGTCTCCACTCTGTGCAAGCCACACTAATCTGGTGGAGAACAGAAGCGACGTTTGCAAGGCAGGGTTGGTGTTTATGAATCTGGAGGAAATGCTGTGTTTATTCAGCACCTGAATCCGCTGCCACCAAGCGCGTGCATTTGCCCAGCGGTGGCTGGGCCTTTCCTGGCCAGCAATGCAACTCACCTACTTTGGGAAAGACGATGCAGTACTCAGTCCCACACTGGGGGCAACTCACACTGCCAATGCTGTTGCCCTTTTGCTTCTCATCCAGCCATCGTTGGAGGCAGGCCTGGTGGATCCACTTGGTGGATCCTTTGCAACGGCAGGGGCAGACCCACTCCGCTGACCGGTCATCGCCTTCGGTGGCAAAACACACCCAGCAATGCCTGGGAGACAAAGAAAGAGAAAGGAAGCGTTGAAGGAATCCCAAGCGATCCACTCCTTTGAAGAACACGTCACTTTGTCCTTCCAAATCAAAACGGGAAGAAGGAAGATGGAAACTGTCCTGTGATAAGTAATTAGAGGGAGCTGCAGTGAGGAGCCTCTTTCTCCAAGGAGAGGCGTCGATCTTGGGGGCAGTGGTGGGGAGGGCGAAGCGTACAAGGTGAGCTTCTGAAAAACCTCACCGAAAGCATCCTGTCAAAAGCTTGGATTTCTTTGCTCAGTTCTGGATAACTTCTGGCACTCTGTTGCTACCTGAAAAACCTCTCAATCACCAAATTACCGGCATAGGATTGGACCACCCCAGTTTGCAGGTCTCCGTAGAACAGAGTACAGCATGCACAATTCTTGGTCAGCATAATATGCCACCGACTACACTGCCAAAAAGAGGCATAGACTGGGCGAAAACCGTGGAGTTTGAAGGGATCTCTAAGATCGCCTGGTCCAACCTTCTCCAAGGTGCAAGAAAACCAATTAAACCACCCCCGAGGGTGGCTCTCCAGCCTCCTCTTCAAACCCTTCGGAAACGAAGAACCTGCAACCTTCCATTTCTGTAGAGATGTTATAAGCAGGAAGCTTTCCTTTACAGCGAAACAAATTTAGGTAGCTGCAATTAATGCCTGTTATTTCTGGTCCTAATTTCTGTGGCTGTGGGAAATAAAATTGGGTTCAGTTTAATGGATGTTAACTTGTCCCTGCTCTCACATTAAAAAATGTGTTGTTTTTTTAAAGAACCTGGGAAATGAGATAATATTTGGAAGCAGCTTAGGCAGACGCCTCCCTAATTCACTGGAGCAGTATTTCTCAACCTTGGGAACTTTAAGATGTGTGGACTTCAACTCCCAGAATTCCCCAGCCAGCCTTGCGGGCT